TGGGAGCCGTGGCACTGTCAAGTCATCAGACGCGGTGATTGCGAGGCCTGTAGGAAAGTACAAAAGCCTGAGCTAGATTACCCCTCTCATCGAGCCCGCCTGTGTGGCGTCTGTTTCCTGCTTCCTGATCCCTATCACCCCACTAAGTTCCCGCCTCGCAGGGTAGTCTGCCTAGCTACTAATGTTGCTAGCCAATCAGCTTACGCGACCCGCCTTGATTTGATTGGAGGCCACAATCCTATATATAGCCAGTACCTCCACCCCTGGAGAGAGAAGCACGAAAGGAGCCATGGGGAGCGGACCGGTAGAGGCTTCGGGGCAGACTGAAGCACGGAAGGAGCCGTGGAGAGCGAACCGGTAGAGGCTTCGGGGCAGACTGTATAAGGAGAGAATAAAGAAAAGCCTGACCACCGCCAGACCTTGTCGTGTGTCTTTCCTGCCGGCCGGGAGCGACACCGACACTGCTCCCCTAAACTTGTGAGCATATAATTTACATGATAAAAGGAACTTCACACGTGTGTCTAAGGTAAGGATCATGAGATGGAAATATTATTCAGGGTTATCCTGATAGAGGCAAGAACAATCCTCTGGAATGTGTTGTTCTGCTTTCCTGACCCAATGTCTCAGGACGTTCAGGGGCAGGGGTCTTCCATTCATGGTTGGCCTGGCACTGAACCCCTGTCCAAGGATGTCCAGGGCAGTCCTGACCCCACAGTCAAACACTGTCCGGCTCATTGCCTTTGGGGTCATTTTCCCCTCTTCTTGAAGGGCAGCAAATGCTTGCAGCTGTAGAGCCGCCATCCCCCCAACTCAAGAGCAGTGAGTCCACTGGGCTTCCATCTTCTGTCGTGTTCCCATCCCTGACTTTCCACCAGACCGCCTCTGCCCCTGTCATCCCATAAGCCCTTTACTGCATGACAGTTCAGCCACACCATTGGCTTTCCCATTTTTTGCAACACAGATAGGCTAAGAATATTGCAAATTTGGGCATTCTGGCTTTCTTCCTCACTAAGCGAATCCCCCTGTGATTTGTTGCTGGTGTGACTGTAGAGCACAGTGGCACTTTAGATGATTTGGAACCAGTTCAGAGTCGGTATCTCGTGGTCCCATAGGACTAGTTAATTACTTTTCCCCAGTGGATGGAATGCTCTCAAAAGATCACAGAACTCTCTGTGGAAGTCTAGAAAGGACATGAACAGTGTAAATGTCAGAATACCAAGTTCTGCCAGGCTTGGGAGCACACTCCTGTGATCCCAGCACTTAGGAGGCTGAGGTAGGAGGATCACTGTGAGTTCAATGCCAGCCTGAACTATATAGTAAAACCATGTCTCAAAATCAAAACACAAAAAAGAAGAAGAAAGAAAAAAAATACCAAGAGGGGGAGATCGAAAAAGATGGCTAATAGATAACAACTGGCTACAGAGGCTCCCTGAGATAGTGAACATAGAATTCAACATAATACAACATGGGGAGTCCCAAATCGAGAGGGATGAATTCTCTCATCCCAAGAAGAAACTAAGGTGAGAAGGACCAACCAAATATACAGTCCCGGTGCTATTATTGGAACAGCTAAAGGTTCAGTGCTTCTGCGGCAGCAGGCAACTTGCCAGGCCATCCAGGGCCATGACCCAACTTACCGAGCTGTCCAAGGCCCCATCACTTCGACTCACTGGAGGTGCAGTCATATTGAGGTCAGGGGTCGGCCAGCCAAACGGAGAGCTGAGCTGGTGGGGAGACTGCATCGACCTGTGGTGAGTGACAGGAGTGGAGCGATTCCACAGGGAGGGGGGGCTCTGGTAGAGGACATTCTGGGACCGAGAAGGACTGGCAAGTACAAGGGGCAGCAGTGACTTCAGTCAGTTGTTCCCTTCCCAAATGGGATTGGTGGAGTGAGCTTGGCCTGGATCATGTGACCTGGCTGAGAGCCAGTAGGTTATCCAAAATCAAGTCCCTATGGCAGTGATGCACACTAACGCAGTGAAACCTCAGAAGTTTGACTGACCAGGAGGGGCGGCGGTACAAAGTAATACAGTGCAGGGCTCAGCAGCTTGACTGATCTGGAGGTGAGGGGCCAGCATACACCGTCCCTGTCTGCAACTCACTAGTATACGGCAGTAGGAAGGGTCATCCAGACAGCACACTTCAGAAGAATTGTAACCAACAAAGAAAGAAACTGGGGCTTCCTGAAAGAAGCAAAAAAGATGGGAAGAGGAAGCAACAACAAAAAGTCCCCAGGTCCCAACCCTAAGAACATTGACCAGGACAGGTAAATACAAAGGAGAATGAGAACAGCAAACATGCAATATCAGACATGGCGCCAGTGGACATAAAGTGATATCTTCGAGACCTCATACACAAGTTCAAAAGTGAAATATTTAGCCAAGTAAAGCAAGATATGAGAAGATTAATAAAAGAGATACTAAGCACCCTTCAAGCAGACAAAGACGGAAGAAGGGAGGAACTCAAACAAAGGAGAGAACCACTTGGTGAAGAATATAAGGAAAATATAGACTACATCAAGTAGATTCAAAGAGATTACCAGGAAATTAAAAACTCCATGGGAAGATGGCAAATCTGCCTGAAAGAATCTAAGGATAGAGTATCTAAACTGGAGGACAATTTTGCAATGTGGCATTATGAAAGGGAAAACTTTTTTAAAAATAACAAGGAAACAAGCAGTAACAATACAAAGACTAGAAGACAATAAGAGGATCTATAACTTGAGAATAAAGAATGTGCATGAAGAAGCTGGGGTACAAACAAAGGAACTACAAAGGCTATTCACAGAAATAATTAAGGAAAACTTCCCAAACATAGGAAAAGGAAATGATATTCAGATCTATGAGGCATACAGAACTGCAGCCACCTACAACCAAAACAGAGCTACACCCAGGCATATAATAATCAAGATCCCAGAAATTCAATATAAGAACAGAATATTAAAAGCTGTTAGAGACAAGAAACAGATAACTTACAGAGGAAAGCCCATCAGAATAACAGCAGACTTCTCAACACAAACCATCAAGTCAAGAAGAGCCTGGAGCAAAATGTTCCAAGCCCTTAAAGAAAATAATCTCAAACCCAGATTGATACACCCTGATAAACTGTCTAGAAATTAATGGAGAAACAAGATGCTTCCAAGACAAAGAGGAACTTGGGAAATTTGCAACCACCAATCCAACTCTACAGAGAATACTTCAGGGCATTCTAGAGAGAGAAAGAAAAGTGCTAGGATTCCAGGAACAGTGGCAGAGAAGCCTCAATGAATGGAGCAGAAAGTGGAATGAAGAAGAAAAGCAGACAACTGATGGCAAAAAAAGAGCATAACAGAAATGAGGCAGAGAAGGTTGGTTATAATCTCTAATATAGATGGCCTTGATACACTAAATTTAAAAAAAGAACCACACGTGGAGTAGATCAGGAGGAGGGTCCGCTGACATGCTATTTATAAGAAATATAATTAACATGAAAAAAGAGTACATGGACTGAAAATCAAATGTGAGAAAACAATGCTCTATGTGACAGAGAACCAGAGAGTAATAGGGGCAACTAGACCAGTATTTGTGGATAGGTTGGAAAGACAGGCTTTAACAGGTAAAGGAATACAATTAGAGATCAAGTCCAGGAGAGAGAAGGTTTGGAATCACTTAGGTAAGCAACAGGTTGCCCCCCCCGCCCCGCCGAAATTTAAAATCAAGGGTCTTGGTCAGACCCAAAAGTGCACAGTGTACCTGGGGAAGTGAGAGGGAGGGAGAGTCTTAAAAAAGACAGCAGCACATATTGTTAATAGTGTATCAAGATTTAAAACCCACATTACTCCCACCACTCTGCTTAGATAGATTTTATTCTATTTTTTTTTCTTTTTGTTCTGATAGATTTTATTCTGTTCTGGTTTGTCTACTTGCATTAGATTTGAGGGCACAGACTGCTATCCCAAAAACATCAGGATATAGTACAGTAATCATCTTTAATTTCGTATTATCTTAATCTGGAGCCCTGTATGATTTATACTGTTTTATCATGACTGACTTAGTTAAATCTGGTTTGTTTGATTGCTGTTTGGTATCTACAGATTTTATTCAAAACTGATATGATTGATAGTATCAAGTCTGCGAGTATAGGCAACTACACTGAAGATGACAAGATTCACTACGATACACATTCTGGTTTGATTATTACCTGTTTTTGAAGTTTTACACTATTAACAAAGTTTTATTTTTATTAATACTCTTATGTACTGATATATTCAATTATACTAGGTCTGATGATATAGCCAATTCTATTGAAGATAACGAGACAACACAGGAACCATGGTAGAACTCTTTGTACAACGTTCTTATATGTTTTTTTGTTTGTTTGTTTCATGTGTTTGTAGAATGTGTTATGTTCTGCCTTGCTTTGTTTCTCCCTCTAATATAGAAAGGATAGAATACAAGTTACGACTCATGCCTGTGTAGAATTCATAAACAGTGTATAAGAACTGACCTTATGACACATGATGAAATGAACAGATACTTTGAAAACAAAGAGACACTACAGTACTCAGTGCTGATCCTGGAGTGTCATAATGTGACACCCAGCAATAGTATTATTCTTTGTCCAGAGTGATATTAGCCTGCTTGCGTTATCTCAATCTCAACATAATTGAAGATATGGATAACTGCATGTATGTTTAACTGTATAGGATTGATAACCGTATTTCTACGTTTTTGTTGGATAGTTGAACAGAACTGGTTGCAGTCTCACTGTTTGAATCCCTACTTTATATGCTCCACTTTAGAAGCTGGGGATTTAGCTCAGTGGCATAAGTGCCTGCCATGCAAGCATGTAGTCATGAGTTTGATCCCTGGTACCAATTAAAAAAAATAAAATAATTAAAAAAGTATATGCTCCACTTTAGTATCTTGAATAACTATGTGTAAGAGGACACTCTGTAATCATCAACTCTTTCTGTTTATTTTTTTTCTTTGAAAGTATATATTATTTCTACCTGTTTTCTGTTTCGTTTAATCTTTCTTTAAATTAAATTTTTTAAAAAAAAAGACATTACAGTACCCAGTGCTGATCCCGGAGTATCATGATGTGAAATCCAGTAATACTATTATTCGTTGTTCAGAATGATTTTAATCTGCTTTAGTTTGTTTAATCTAAACATAATTGAGGCTATGGGTAACTGCATGTATGTTTAAGTGTATAGGACTGACAACCATGTTACTAAGTTTTTGTTGGATAGTTGAACAGAACTGTCTGCAGTCTCGCTGTTTGAATTCCCACTTTACATGTTCCACTTTTGTATCTTGAACAACTACTTGTAAAAGGACAGTATGTAAACATCAACTAGTGATTTCTTACTGTTTATTTTTTTCTCTGAACGTATGATTATTTCTACCTATTTTCTGTTTTGTTTAGTTTTTCTTTAAATAAAATTTTTTAAAAAACACCAACATCTGTCCCCAGTGAGATCCAGCCCTCCTTCGTTTAAAGACTTCTTGGTCCGCCAACTGGTCCAAGTCCTGTGTGACTGACGGCCATGGTTTTGCTCCTGTGACTCAGACTAGACATCCGTCGCTTGACTTAGAACACGTCTGCTCGTCACAGGGCACCCATGTGCTTCCCCAGGGACACCACACTCACTAAGCAACCCCAGAGTAAAGAGATGGCTCTGACTCTGAGGTCCATTATGGGAGCCACACCCAGCTCACCTTTGGTGCTTGTGACCCCACTTTCCCACTGCACCCCTCTTCCCAACTACTCCCTGCATCACCAGTGCCTACTCTGAGAAACAGACCTAATGCAGAGACACAAATGTATGAGGAACCCAGGGCCGGCTTCCAGCGGCTGTCCATGGAGTCAGGTGTGGAAAAGCCCAAAAGCCTTTTCCGTAAACCGGAGATCGGAGGGTGCGGTCAAAGCCTGGAGCTCACTCAGCGTCCCGTGCACATCGGAGTCAGCAGGCCAAAGCCTCTGCAGTGGAAGGCGGAAGAGCCCGTGCTGGGAAGCAAGCATCTGCACCGGAGCTCGGAGACCACGTCGAGGTGGAGGTGAAGGCAAGCACTGGGGTCCTCTGCAGAAACCAAGCGCACCTTGCTTCTTTGCTTCCTGTTATTCCGTTCAGGCTACAAGCCTGCTGGCTGCTGTCTCCCACCCCAGAAAGGGTCTCCTGCCTCAGTGGGTCCCTTCAGCCACACCCAGAACCATGCTGGCCCAAGTTAATCAGTTCTTACTCCAGTTGACCATAAAAGTTGACATAATCCATCCCTGGCACCTTGACAGCCAGACACATTTCCTTAAACCATAGTCTGGGTACAAAGACAGGCTCATAAGTATGCCTAACTGTAGCACCTCAGTAGGACTCGGTTCTTCCCCTGGTGGGGTGACCCCAGTGTTCGGTCCTGAAGGTACTGGACCGTTGGGCATCTCCTGCCTGGATTAGGTTGCTATGGTTTCCCACTGACTTTAATAACAGGGCGTGGTAATAATGGGGCGTCCCAAAGGATCTCCTGAGCTCCAAGTGTCTTCATCTCTCCCTCCACAGTGAGTAAAAGCCCGATTTTCCCTTGACAGTCTGGGGCAGTCATTCTGGTAACACTGTGACTCCCTCTCTAGCTTGTTTACTCATAAGGAGACCAAAGTGACCGTGGGATGTCTGAGCTTCCAGTTCAGTGGCACCCTTGTCATGCCTGGTCTACAGAGACAAGCGATCACAGGGCTTTTCCAGGACCTGAAGTTGCCCTCACAGATTTTCCAGTGTTGGCGAAAGGTCTTCCGGACCCTCTCAGTGTGGGTGATAAACCTGCCTCCCAGTCCAGACTCCCTAAGACCCTGAGTCCCTTCCCTGCACTATACGCAGACAAGTCTGCATTTCTAATCCATTCACTGTGGTATCCTGGTATCCCTTTTGCTCCGTAGTTCAGCCAACAAGCGAATCCAACCGTTGGAATCCACTCTAACTCTCTGCACAGTAGGGATTCAATGTGGAATCTCCACTCACGGAGCCTGTTTTAATTCAGTCAGCCTGGTCCAACTTTACCTTCCTCCAACTGCTAGGCTATTTTTCCCATGTGCTTCCCAGATTTCCAGCCGTGGAAAGGAGAAAGGGCAAGCCGCTCTTTTGGAGCACTGTGTGCTCCGTACCTCACTTGTAGGCCTGCTAAGACTTGGGTTTGTTACAGGCAGAGAGACTGGACCTGCGTCTAGAGAAGCAGCATTTTCTTACTTCGTGCAGTTTCCTGGGGTGATGCAGGGTGCGTCCTCTCAGCACAGAAAGGCCACTTCCACTGGGGCCAGGGAAGCCACTCGCATGGCAGAGGGGAAGATGCTTCTACGAAGGAGGATAGGGTTTTTCTACTTCCATGAGCAGCTCAGGAGGCTGTTTCCACTGGTAAAGAAGCCTCACGAGGGCTGAGGGGTTCAGTGTCCCGGGCTTCGTGGATGACTTCACGCACATCCCCCTTGAGGCTGGACAGGTCCCTTTCTGTCCCAATCCAAGCCCTCTCACTAACCACAGGCGCCCCATGAGGCTGAAGGCAACTGCCCTGTGACCCAGCCAGTCCCAGGGTGAACTCAGCATGGATTTTTAGCCTCAGCCCGGCAGCTGCAGGCCACCCAAGTCACCTTCACTCAGAGAGCACACCGGAGGCTGCAGGTCATTTATGTGGCGCCATGACTCTCTTTAATCGCTGAGCGATATTCTGCTGTGTGGCGTATCTGTTGACCCATTCGCCAGTTGAAGGACAGCGGGGTTAGAGCATCAGGACCGCAAGTGAGCTGCTATAAATATTCATGGACAAGTTTTTGTGTGAGCATCTGTCTTGGTTTCTCGTGGGTAAACACCTAGGACTGGAATTCCTAAGTCACCTGATAAGCACGTTTAACTTCGTAAGACAATGCAAATGTTCTCCACCGTCACTCGCGTTGTCTGTCCTCTCGTAGCACAGGACAGTTCTAGCTGCTGTGTGTCTCTGCCGGTCCCTGGTCTTGTCAGACGGGCTGACGGAGAGATCTAATTTTAGCGTTCTTACAGGTGTGCAGGGGCAGATCACGATGGATCTAATTTGCATCTCCAAATGACTGAAAACCTCTCAGGTGCCGATTCGTCACTGGGCTTTTCTGTTGCTGCAAGCTTGCCTCCTTTGTCCTTTGTTGGTCTCTTTCTTCATAGCCTCTGTGTGGAAAGTGGTGTCTTATTGTGCATTTGATTTGAACTTTTTAATGGCTAGTGATAGTGAAAACCTCTCTGAAGTGTTTACTCCTCAACATTTATAAAATGTTGGTTCAAATGGTTTGCTGCGCCTGATTTTCAAACTGCATTTTTTTCTTTTTCTTTTTTTTAAATTTTATTTAAGGAGAAAAAAAAAAGCAGAGAAAGGGTACAAGTTATACAGATTTACAGAAAAAAAATAAACGTAGGAAATCACTAGTTAATGGATTACATATTGTCATCTTAGAAATAATTGTTCAAGTCACAAAATTAAAGCTTGTAAAGTGGACATTCCAACAATGATACTACAAACAGTTTTGTTCAATGATCCAATAAAACTCAGTGATATCATTTTCTATCTTATACACTTAAATATACATGCAGTTATATAGTTTAGAGCACTTTTTTTTCCTCTCTTTTGTACAATGACTATTACACATTTTGGGTTTTATTGCTCCCATGGTTCTTATTACTTTTTTTGAAGAGAGTAAAACCAAATGTGACATAACAGAACAGAGTCAGTCAAATCAAAAGGGTGGACATAATAGATAATGTAAAAACATAATACAAGGTGATCAACAATGGTAAACTGTATTTTTTTCTTACTCTCAAGATTTTTGGAAATTCACGTAACCACCCCTCAGGCTGTCTCAGAAATGTTGTTATGTTGCATTTTGATTTCCATTCCATTAAGAATACTTTAGTCCTTTATTTTACAGGACTTTCGTTTTCACACCCAGGTTATTTACAAGTACATTGCTTGCTCTCCACATTTGATGTTTTTCAGTTTATGTCTTTCATTGACTTCTAGTTCACTTTTCTGTGCCTGGAGAAGATCCTTCCTGGATGAAATGCTTTTAAATGTGTTCTTCTAGGTCCCAAATGTGGTCCATCTTGGTTCCACCCAGAGAGACAAGGACTGACACCATCACCAGCAACAACTTTACTGCTATAAATCATTATATAAATTAACACACAAACTGGGAATGGTATCAAGGGCTGTATCTACAGATTTCACCGCCTGAGCTCCCTTGTCCCCTGGTTTCTTCTGATTTGGCCGCTAATAGACAGCAGAAGAAGCTGAGCTCAGTTTTTGTCCCCTTCTATGGAGGTCCCTTTTCCCATGCTCATCCCAGTCCGGGAAGTTTAGATTCACAATCCCTTGAAACGTTCTTGGAATTTTAACAAGTTAATTTTAATCCACCACTTCTAGTGCAACCCACAGTGAGAATAGACACTAGGCACATTTATAATACTGAGTGGTCAAGGGGTCCTGAGTGTGACCCGGATGAAGATGTATCAAACAAGGGCGTCTACCTGGGTTTTAGTAACTTGTGATTCAGAAAGGAGAGGCTGGGGGCCAAGCAACTCTGAGAAAGGCAGGAATTATGTGGGTGCTGTGAGCTGGGCTAGGTAGGGGGCCAGAAAGCACCTCTGCAAAATGCAGAGAGGAGGCCATGCACAAAGACCAATCCGTATAACACAGCTGAGGCACATCTGACGCTTAGGTGTCGGTGCTTCAGCTCCAATGTGCAAGCTTTTCTGCCCTGGGAAGTCACGGCCTCTCATCTCCACCCAAACCCAGGTGGCAGCCCTGGAGCTGTGTGGCTCTGCATCCCGATGGGTTCAACCATTTAGGGGACACTGAGGCAGGAAAACGGTGACTGTCACCTGGCTTCAAAGACTGCATATCAGCACCTCGGCCAGCCCTGTTTACACCGCTTACAGCCCACTGAAGGGAGAAGGAAATGGCTTAGCCAGCTCTGTTCACATCCATGCATGGAGACAGGGCCAGGGCCAGCCAAAGTGCAGGTACCTGCTCTGTATTCAAGGAGAGCCGTCCAGCTGGCCTTCCACATCCTTCCCTCTCTGGCTCGGCTCATCCTCAACTAAAACCAGGTCCCTCTGTGCCACTGATCCCATCTGCTCCCGCCCACAGGCTCCTGCCCTCACACCATTTCTCCCTTGCTCTGCCGGCCCTGAGTGGCCCGAGGTCCCTGCTGTCCCTCTCGGGGGACCTCACACTCTGGTGTGGGTTCCTCAGTGTGACCCTGAAAGATCCCTGCCTAAGCTGGCTCTGCCCTTCTGCGTGTGCCAGGCTTCCCACCACGGCCCCAACTGACCCCAACAATGTGCTCCTGTCCACACCGAAGTCCATCTTTGCTTTCTCATTCTCCTTCTCAGCCCTTGCGACCTCTCAGACAGCTGACCAAGAGCTTGAATGAATGGTCATCTGATGATATTTCTGCTCCATTTTGGTTCGGGTTCTGTATGCTCTAGAAATTACAGGAAGTATGAAGTCACCTTTTCTGTGGGTGTTCCTGACCTGCTCCTCCACCCACTGGCAGATTGCAGCGATGTCTCCCTCTGCTCCAAGCGTTGCTCTTTTGTGTGTAGCGAATATCGTTCCGTGACTGTTTACACACACCTCTCTGTGGCTCCCATGGGCGCCCCCCCGCCCCCGCACCCAGCACATGCCAGCTCTTCAGCGATTGCTCGGTAATGTATGATGGATGAGCAGGAGAGGGAAACTAGACTGCTCTGCACCTGTGCTACGCAGAATCTAATTACACTGTGGAACTCAGGCCATCATTAATCAACAAGTCTAAGAGTTATTTTAGGTGCCAGGAGCAGCCTTCTCCACGCATCTCAGGTTTTCAAGCTTCCTTGGCTCATTTGCACTCAACAGTGGTCCCTTAGCTGAATACCCTGACCAATCTCAGAACCCAGGGAGCCAAATTCACCGAGTCAAAATCAAGAGTCTCCTTACACACGTGAAAACCCTCATCAAAAAGGCCCCAGGATTCTCCAGCTTCTCCCACCGGAAAACATAAGCAGCGGGCAAATCAGCTTGCTTTGCACCGTTTCCCCCTCTCCCACATGGCCCATAAACTCATGCTGGCACCTTAGGGCGTTCCAGGATAGCTTTGTGCAAACCGAACACCTCTGTGGAGATGCTTCTTCAAGAGTGTCCCAAGGTCATCTCTGGCTGCCTGGCATATGGTCCTCCAGCGCCTACCAGCCCCGCGTCAACCTGCTGCCGCCTCCTCCATATGGTCTGGCAAGTCACCCCTCCCGTTCCCACAGCGGGGAGCCAGCGCGACAGCACAAACAGTGAGTCACAAGGACAAGAACCCAGCGACATAAATGACCCCATCACAACAGCTCAAGCTGGCATAAACACTGGCACAGGGCATGGAAACTGAGCAGAGAGGTGCCACAGCTTCTCAGATCCGAGCCACCTTCCTCTCTGGGTCACATGCAGCAGAGGTTGGCTTTCTAACTGAATTCCTCAGAGCAATAGCCTTTGTTCTGCCCGGTGTTTACAGTGACGTTTGTGTCAAGGGAGACGTTGCTATCACCACAAAACGAGAAATATGCTTCCTTCCCTCCAGCCACCCCTTTCAGCTTCTTATGCCCCTGCACCCCTGAAATAGAGATGAATAGCGTACCTCGGTTCACGAACTTAATGCTTTCCACAATTCGGGTTGCAAACCAAATTGGCCAAGAATCAAATCAAGTTCAATGGTTAGGTTCAACCTTGCTGGGGAAATTTGATTCGGTTTTCATCTAGTTTAGTTGGTGACCAGAATCACGGAGAAAATTACGTTCATGCGTCAGGGTACATCTGTGTTTAAAGCTCTCCAGTGTGGCACTGGTGTTCTTTGCAGAGTAAGATGACTCCTTCTCCTAAGCCAGAAAATGACTCCCAGTGAGAGCAAGACCATGAAACCATCACCAGCCCTGAGCTACCCGTAAGAGGCAGCGGGGATTTCACGGCAGTGAGGCAGGGCTGGAACCCAGCTGAACTTCAGGAAGGGGGGAGAATTGTGTGTGAGAAGCCCTGAGCAACGCCTCCACAGCATCCTGCATCATTGGATCCGCTCCATCATTAGCTAATTTAAACTATGGCTGGTAGATTATAAACAGAGAAACTGAGGCACAAAACATGAGTAACAGACTGAGACTTTATATCTACAAAATGGGTACTTCATAATTAAGAGGATCTGAGACAGGGGTGGCGGGGTCCATCTAACAAATTAACCTCCCCATTCCCACTGCCACCCTGCCCCACCCAGACTTGGACTGATGTAACTTTTCATCTCCGTGTGTCAGCTTTGTCCCTGAAGACGTCCTACGCTTTGCCCTCTCTGCTAATTCAGACTCCAGACTCTGGTATGGGTTAGATCCAGAACGTCCTGCGAAAGTCTCCTGTGCTCTGAGGTGGGGCTTTTGGAGAGTGACTGGATTATAGGGGTGCAGGACCCACCATGACCCATTGAGGAGCTGATGGTTGAGTGTGCTGTAGGGGCAGGGCCTGGCTGGAACCGATGGGCCCCTGAGGGTGTGGCCTGGAAGAGTGTGTGTCCCTCTAAGTTCTTCCCTGCTCTCTCTGCTTCCTGGCTGCCGTGAGGTGAGCGTCTTTCTCCCGCCATGTTCTTCCACCATGATGTTTCTGTACCCAACCATGGACTGAACCCCCTGAACTGTGAGTCAAATAAAAACCTTTTCTCCTTTAACTTGTGAGTTCCTGGTATTGTATTCTAGCAACAGGATTAATAATACGGACCCAGTGCCAGCCCCATGTCTTCTAAGAAGCCTTCTCAGATGGTGCCTGGGCAGAGCCTAAACCCTGGCTAATCTCTCCTGGCCCCTCCTCTCTTCTCTGCCTACAAGGCACTTGGTGCAATTTGACACACATTTTCACAAATGTGAGTTTTTTCCTTCTACCCGATCTATAAGCAGCCCAAGACCAAAGGATTCTCACCATCCCTTAATGACCTCCCACGTTCCCCCATGGGTCTGAAAAATCATTCTGTGCTCTTGGTAGAATCCTCGTATACCACACACATTTAGGAATAAAGCAATGGACAAATTGTTTGTAAGTGAAGCGTTTTAAACATGTCCTATATATAGCATGGTCTCTACTCTGTCCATACTTAAGACACAAGCATGAACCTTCCTTTCGTTTTCTTCCTTTGTTTTTGTTTTTGTTTTTGAAATAGGGCTTCAATGTGTTGCCCAGTCTGGTCCCAAATGGCGCTCCACTCACTGCCTGCCTCAGCCTCCCCACTAGCTGGGACTACAGGCACGAGCTTCCACACCCAGCTACAAGCATAATTCCAGAGACCTGCTAGAGTCTCATTTGCCATAGAAAAAACTAAGTCTATTTGATTAAAAAAAATAAATGAGATACTGAGAACCTCAGACCTAGAAAAGGGTGACCCGGCTGGGGAGGGGTGTTGGAAACACTAGGAGACTCAGTTGGCCCAAGTGAGGGGAAAGCAGAGGGATCCCAGGCTGAGTGGACAGCGCCGTGGAGCGCCAGCCCTCCAGGCCAGTGACCGCTCTTAGGAACCGTGAGGCTTTCTGCTTTTCTCTCCTCTGTCATGATACATGGTTCAGTCCCCTGGACCATGAGAAAAATGTTTGACTTAATTATGGTCGATAAAGTCCTATAAAGAAATAGAAATGTCTTCAATTGGAGAATAAAAATAATTTAAATTCAAAAGCACCCACCAAACCAAATGGAGATGCTTGGTGCCGTCTGGCCAGCCGGAGCCCTGCGTCCTGCTCTGTCCTTGCAGTGAGGAACAGCTCAGGGCTCACCTGGGACCTTCCTGCTCTGCTCGGCCTTCTCCGCTCAGCCCCATCCACGCCAGGAGGGAGCCCCATCCAGGGCTGGCAGAGCCCGGGTACAGGCCTCGGAGGGCAGCCTGTGTATTTTCTTTGGTCACTGCATAACTTTCACTATCAAAGCATCTTTTTAAGAAAACATCCAGCCCAAAAAGGAAGAAACAACCACCCCCAAATTATACTTCCTTAGCAAAACTCTTTGCTTTATCTCTCAAAAAGTCCCCTCCTTGTCCTGCAAATTAAATTGCCTTTTGAAAAGCAGCACTTGGTGTTTATGGAATTGAAGTTTCCAATGTAGACAGTGACGTTTGTTTGCTTGTTTGTTGGTTGACTGATGGGATGGAAACTCACACTGTTACTCAAGTTGGCCTCAAACTCCTATTTTAATGTAGCAAACCTTAACACACTCCTCACTTTATCCCTCAAAACTGCCCCTCCACCTCCTGGCCATTCTCATCTCAGTCCATAGCACTGCTGTCCACCAAGAGATCTCTTTCCTTAGCTGCCTGAGTAGCTGGGACTACAGCTGTGCACCTAGCCTAACAAGTTAGTGAGGACCGAATGAGTCAGGCGAGGGTTCACCGATGGGACAGACTTGGCGTCACTCCCCAGTGATAAGGTACGGGACAGACACCTGATTCAAGGGTAAGGTGGGGACTGAGCAGCCTTCCGAGGCTCTGTGTTCATGCAACAACGCTATCCCTAAATTGCTTCTGTCAAGCTAAGAGTTTTCATCATTAAAGTCTCTGCACTGTCTGCAGTCAGCAGAATTTAGAGCCTACGTGCCTGCCAAAAGCAAGCAGCACCCCATCTCTCGTGAGGTGAGAGAAAGGGAGTTTCTCAAGGAAAGCAAAGCGCACATGGAGTTGGTTCAGAAATAACCCGAGCAACTGACCCTTAGACAAAATCATTTCAAACAAACCGAGCGGCGTTCGCCCCGTGGCTTTCTTGGAAGTCTCCTACAGTGCTGCACGGTGGGTACCGAACCCGCCTCCCAGACAGCTCCAAGGAGGCTCCAAGAGCGGAAGGAACCTGTGATGAGGGGGAAGCAGTCAGCCCAGGTTCCCAGCCCTCCCTCACTCTGCTGCCACTCCGGTGGGGGACACGGAATAGAAATTCCAGGTTGCCCAAAGACTCCTGGAAGGTTCTCAGAATTTCTGGGTCCACGCAGACTTGCAGGGCTGCCTCCTGATGTGACCTCCCCAGGAAAGCGCCCAGCTGCCGAGAGGACTTGGTAATACAGCGTTGATGGCCAACAGGGAGAGGAAGGAGAGAAACACGGCATCATTGGGGCTGTGTAGAGCAGCCCCCTCCGTTCCCTCAACCTCAAAAACCTCCAATATCCTGTGCAAGAAATAGGATTTGAGAGATCCATCTCCCGTCACCAACTCGTACTGAACTTTCTGTCACTTACTGAGCTATATGTACAATACGCAGCACAGAACCGGCCTCCGTCCGCCGATCCTGGGCTGGGGACTCTGCAGACGTGGCCCTGCGGGCGCCCTCTCCTCCCTTCCCCAAAGCAAGCACTTGCTTACACTCTGTGTTGATCACTTCCATGTGCTCCTCCTTACACTTTCACCAACGTTACATCCCTGAACCATAAATTTTTTTATTTTAAAGAGATTAAGACAAAACAGGACATAACAAAGCAGATCAGAACAGAACAATGTAAGCAACATAGAATTTCACTAGAAGACAACCCGTAATTAACAGTAACTACCACAATGTCTCTTTCTTTCAAATAGTTGAGTATAACTTCATATACAATAGTGTCAAACATAACAAAATAGTATAAAAACATGCAAGAGAATGAGAGTATTACAGGGCATTCAGAACCAAATAACAGAAAACAAACAATGGCTACTATATTATCTCATTTTCCATAGAAAATTTGTTTATATTTTCACATGTAATTTTTAAAAATGAAACATAAATTTTTAAATTTTGTTTTTAAAAATAGCTTATAAATTGAGGGATATATTTTTGCTTCACTCAACTTTATGCTGCTGAGATTCTGCCTTTGAAGTGCATTTGACATATTTCACTACCCAGTGGAGTTTCCAAACTTGCCCGCAGGCTTTGTCTATCTGTGTGTAAAAATCACCTTGGGTTGTTTTGATGTTACCCTAGCTTTTGTTTACTCTATTGTGGAATTTGTTATTAAATTTACATAGCATTTAGAATTCTCAAGTTTAGACAAGATACCACTGAAGAATAAATTCCAGAGTATATGGTCAACAGACCAAATGATAACACAGAGACAGACGATCAAGGATGCTGGAGGTGTAATGGCTGCGGTTACCAGGGAGATGGATTGTCTATGCAAACAATTTTTAGAAAATATAGAATCTCCATGCATCTCCATTGCGTGGAATCCAATCTTTTCTTCCCTCTCACATGGAATAAGATGACTTTGACCTAGGATACTGATACTGACCACTCCATAACCTCTGCACTGGGCACTAGGACCTCTCAAAAACAGAAGTCCCAGTCTTGAGGGAACTTTTCTGAAAAGCTGCTATGCTTCCGTAGTTGAAACCACAGGCTGAGAAGACTGGCCTTTTACTTATTTTTTTTAAAAGTCACATGCCTAACAAATGTGAAGCTGGTTCTGCCAGGCATGGTAGCGTGTGCCTGTAACCCCAGCACTCAGGAGGCTGGAGCAGGAGAATGACAAGATCCTGCAAGACCAGCATGGGCTACCTCATGAGACGCTGCTCCAGGGGAATGAAGTGTACCTATTTAGTCTTTTGAGCAAAGAGACTGTTCTCGCATTTTTATTATTAGTTAGAACAGAAAAACTATTGTATCATTTGTAAATAAGGAACATTACGTTATTACAAGGGATGCTTTCAGTTAATACAGGACTATAATTTCTTGGTAAATATAGAGGAACCCTAAATTCCTAGAATCAAAGAATATGGAAACTCTAAAATTCATGTTCAATTTTCTGTGTGTGTTGTTCTCCTCCATACATTCCTGAATCTTATTGATAAATGAGACACTACCACTCTTTTAAAAATCAGAGGTACGATCATGTAAAGGTATCTTTTAAAAATCAGAGCTATGATCATGTAGAAAAAGTTTATTTCCTCTTTTTTCTTCCCTTCTAATCTTCTGGTAGAAGGGTCAAAAAGCAGCAGGCGCTCCCAAAAGCAAATTAAGCAGTATTAGAGCGAGAAGAGTTTCATTAATGCCTAAGATTATCTGTACAACCATTTTTCACCCTGTGACTACACAGAACAGAAACATCACCCAGTTACGACCAGAGCCCAGTAACCAGGGAATCGCTCGCTTGCATACTTGAACTAGCAGAGAGTATCATTTTGGACCAAGAATCCTGCCCTACCCTGGGAGTATAAACAAACATGTTCTGCTCACTGTTACATTAGTTAGAAAGCGAAGCTGGCACAGAGCAGGGGCATATTCGAAAGCCACCATCCCATGCTACGAAGAATAACACATCCGCTTATCCACCTTCCGGCTAACCAGGACATTTAACACATTCGATTTGAACACAAAGCTACCAAACTTTTAGAAATTTTCATTCTGCCACCAACGTCTTGACGGAAGTAGCCAGGTCAGGAGCAGACAGAGGACACCCTAGTCAGGACGGGCCAATGCAGCACCAAACCGCCCCGCAGCCTCCCTGGCTGACCATGTGTTTTCCAAGCGTATTGTGGCTCACACTGCTTTAGCCTAGCGGGACGGGGACTCTGCCACATGGTCCTCTCGGCCACAAGGAAAAGCAGGCGTGGAAAGAAGAGAGCTGGGGACTGTGGGGGCCACTTCTCGGCTTCATTTCAGAAGTGGCATCATAAGTCCATGCCAAAACCTATTTTTAGAAAGAAAGGAAAACACAGAATCGCCCTGTCTGCCTGTCATTAGTCAGAATCAGTCATGATTCCACCCATCTCTAGGCTCAAGGGAGCATCAGAGCGCATCACTGATTCCAGGATAAAAGAGACCCCAAATCCAGCCTTTGCCATTATGCTGGTGGGAAGCCCGCAGCACCTCTCATTCTGGTCACCTCTGTCCCGTACAAGGAAACAGCCGTGAAAGCCCGATGGGAGGTGCGGAGATGATGGAGCTCGCCCATGACCGTCAGAATCATTACAAAGTCGTCAAAGGGCAGGCGAAACCATAATAAACCCTGCCTGCAGGGGCGCTGGAGAAATGACGTGTGACGAGTCCATCGGGATCGTCACCTCAGAGTGTGCCTGGCTGGCCCTGGTCGAGTCGGAATTGCTGCCCAAAGCACCCTGGCCATCTCACCGCCTTGCCAGTTGGGCACACGACCTCTGTGCAAAGCCATTCAGCCAGGCGCACAGCAGGAAGAGCTCCGTGCTGACGTTTCCCATTGAGGAGACAAGCTGGGCCAAGGGTATCCCTGCCAGGTCATCTGCACCCGTGTGAAAACACCAGAAAACAGGCAAGGAGTCCCATGCATCAGGCATCAGCCAGACTCCACCTCACCCCAGGAAGCTTCCCACAGCAGGCAGCAGGAAGACACAAACCTTAAAAGACCTCCGTAACCTTCTGTCACCACCCTTCCCACTCACAAGTTTAGGGCGTGACCAGTGACTATGAGTAATTTTTTTTAAAAGACACTCTTACTGGAGGAGGACAGGGGAACTGTCATGCTGGAACAAGAAGCTCCATTATAACCCAAGCCCAGGTTGGCGATGTTAAACAAACAGATGGGGCTGTTATTCTGGAGTCACTAACACTCCAGTTCCACATCACCCAACCAAAACTGGGCTCCCACCTGCCCTTCTTGGAAGCTAGAAGCCAACAACAGTGACCGGTTTCCCCAGACAGGCCAGGCCCATCAGCACAGGGAAGCCTCTCACTCCAAAGAAAGAAAACCCAGTCAGCCCCTCAGTTACTTTCTGTTCCCCTGCCCTCCAAGGAAGCCACTGTGATGGGTCCACCCCTGTCAGGTGCCCTGTTTCTGCTTCCTCAGCCCTCACCCTCCACCGCTCAGCTCCTCCGAGCACTTATCTGCTTCAAGCAGTGAAGTGTTGATGATTCTCCACTTACAGATGAAGCCCGTGGAGATCTTTAACTTGTGGTCATGTTGCCTTTGACAGCAGGAATGCAGTGTCTCCTCCCCACCCCTAGAAACCCCACTTCCGGAGTCTAACCGGTCCCCACAGTACTCACCATGTGTGTCAGTCTCATTTACTTCTGCTTTGACTCTGATGTTACAGATTAGGTGTCTCCATAGGCCTGGAAATCTGGCTGAGAGGCAAGGCCTGCTCCCACATTCTGTTGCCACCCACAAAATGGAGGTTCTACCTGGGTGCCCCTGGGAATGCCACTGTCCTGGCACATGGGGAACCTGGGGCTGCCACCCCCTCCCCGCCATGCCAAGTGCTCAGCTCCTAACACTGTGCATGGCTGTCCCCACCCCTGAGGCTGTGCCTCAGGTATTCTGCCCTAAGACTGTGAAGCAGAGAACTCCGAACGCCTCCCCAAAGGCACTGACTTCACTTCCCACAGGTAATTTCAAGGCCAAAGTCACTGCCAGAAACCACACAGGGGCCCCACCCACCACACCACCCACCGGACAAACCACCGCGGGAGAAAACAGGACTCAGGAAGCCCCCCTTTTTTTTCAACTTTCTTTTCTTTTTCTTTCTCTCCTCTTTTTCTTTTCTTTGTTCTTCATTTTCTTCTTCTTTTTTTCCTTTGTTTCTCTCTTTTCTCAGTGGAAGAACTCCAGCCACAGAAAAGAAATTCCATCCCCTAAATTCAGACACCAAGTGCAGAAAACCCCCCCATACGCCTCCCTCCTTTCTTTTCGACCCCCTTCCTCAGCTTCCCAAACCTTAGGTGACCCCCTAAGCCCTCCAGCCTCACACCTACCCCTCTCCACTGACCTTTGTTTACACACTCCCCTAAGTTTCTCAACCACAGCATAAAACCCCCCCACCGAGGGGAGGCACCGCGTGCAGACTCATTTATGATCCTTCTGTTCTGTAACTATAGACTTTGTTCCTACAGTCTAAAGCACAAAATCAATCGTTACCATAGCCTGCCAGTTGCTAAGTTGTGCTGAATGCCATTGTTACTGACAGTCTCACTGTGTTAGCTGAGTGTCACATCTGCTCTAATCATTGTGCTCCCTTCTGTAACTACACCCAGGAAGTAATAACCTCACCACAGCCCTGTACCAAAGAACTGGAGACTGAGCCAAACAGATGTTGAAAATCTATCCACTGAAAATACAGTACTCTGAAGAAAGAGATCAAAGAGGATATCAGAAAATGGGAAGCTATTCCTTGCTTATGGATAGGAAGAACCAATATTGTGCAAATGGCCATTCCCCCAAAACTGCTACACAGATTTAGTGCAATCCTGATTAAAATCACTCCTAAAATTTATTTGGAACCAGAAGAAACCTAGAATAGCAAAAGCAATCTGGGACAACCAAAGCAAAGCAGGAGGCATCACAATCCCAGACTTCAGATTATACTACGAAGTTACTATGATAAAATCAGCACACTGCTGGCAAAAAAAAGAGAAACAGACTTGAGGATCAGTGGAACAGATTAGAAGATGTAAACACAACTGCACACACAGTCACCTTATCTTTGACAAAGGGGCCAAACATAGTCACAGAAAGAAAGAGCCTCTTTAATAAATGATACGTGGGGGGGGTGGCTCTCCACATCCCACAGACTAAAACTAGACCCACGTCTATCACAATGCACTAAAGTCAAGATGGATCAAAGATCTAAATATTAAAACAGAAACACTAAATCTACTAGAAGAGAAAATAGAAATCTCAAAGACTTAGGGGCAGGGAGAGAGTTCATGAACAGGAAATACTTCAAAGAATTAACAACTGAGATCTCATCTTATTCAGTTTTTGTGCATCAAAAGAAACTTATCAACAGAGTGAAAACCCACAGATTGGGAAAAAAATTTAGCCAACTGTTTCTCAGACAAAGGACTTCTATCCAGAACAGATAAAGAATTGAAGAGAATCAGGTCTCCCAAATTCAAAGACCCAATCCAAAAAAGGGCATCTGAGATGAATACATACTTCTTGAATGAAGAAATACAAATGGCAAATAAATATAAGAAAAAAATGTTCAACATCATTTGAGAGATGCAAATTAAAACAACACTGAGATTCCATCTCACCCCACATAAAACAGCTATTATCAAAAGACCAACCAACAGTAAATGCTGGAGGGGCTGTGGGGAAAAAGTAACCCTTCTGTACTGTTGGCAAGAGTGTAGACTGGTACAACCACTGTGGAAATCAGTGTGGAGATTTCTCAAAAAACTAGGGTTGGAAGTTCCATTTGACCCAACTATCCCCCTTCTGGGTATCTTCCCAAAAGAATTAAAAACATCATACCACAGTGATATATGTGTACCCATGTTTATAACAACACAATTCATAATACCTAAGTCTTGAAAATAACCCAAATGTCCATCAACTGAGTAATGGATAAAAAAGATGTGGTTTTTTGGAACCAAGAATCAAACCGAAGACCTGTACTTGCCAGTCAAGTGCTGGGCTACTGAGCTATACCCCCGGCCTGAAGGTGTGGGATTTTTTCCCAATGGCGTACTACTCAGCTATAGAGAAGGTATTTATAGGTAAATGGGTGCAACTAGAGACCATGCTCATAAGTGCAATAAATCAGACTCACATGCGTAAACATCATATTGTCTCCCTAGTATAAAAACTAAAAGAGTAAATGAGATCCAAACTCTACAATAGATATCATGAGAGGGAAAGAAACTGCTCAAAAGGAAAGACCAACTAGAAAGGGGAAAGGAGGAAAGGAAGGGAAAATATATACACACAGACATTAACAAGTTGCTCAGATAATTATACTACTAATTTCTTTTAATTCATTGAAAAGAATGGTTTGTGCTTATGTTGTTTGATCTGTTCTGCATGCCTGTATCTGGCAATCTCAGCAACTGCTTGGAAGATAACAAGATGCAATATTAACCACTGTTAGTTTCCTATTATCTTGTTAAGAAACTCTGTATCATTGGTTTTTACTGTTTTTATCTCTAAAATAAAGCAATGGACATGTGGCACAAGGCCATCGGGGAATCTCACAGATTAGCTGGGATCAGCCTACACCAGAAGTGGAACGGTTTGCTGTGGGGAAGCGGGAAGGGGTCAGCTGGGGTGAGCCCTCTTAGGGCCAAGACAAATCTCCCCACTAATCTCAGGAGAGGTCCTTTCAAAGAAGTCTGAAGTTTAGGAGTCTGTCTGAGAAACAATCTAGGTCACAAGTTTTGCTAAAAATAGTAAGGCAGCTAGTGGAACTGGTCCTCAGGGACTTCACGCCGCGCTCCGATAACCTGACCAGCCAACACGCAAGTAAGCCACAAACAGAAGAAACAGGCCATGGGCGACCAGCAACAGAACATTACGTATTAGGTTCGCTTCTATCAAAAACGTATGAAGCATGCAAAGATGTGGGGAAGAATGGTCCTCACACCAAAGGCCAGTAGGTGACAGAAACTGCCTGCAAAAGTGACCACATATCCAGCTGAACAGCTGTCAGATGGAACAGAAAGAGTTTTTAAAGTACCCATTATAAATCATTTCAAACAGCACTTTCAACTACGGAGCACCATGATTTCAAAGCGAAAGAAGTCATAAAATAACAAAAGAATAAGGAAAGTTATGGCTGTAACATAACGCCAAACAGAAAGTGCTGACAGAGAAATAGAAATTATTCTAAAAGAACCCAGTGAAAATTCTGAACAGGAGCTGGGGACAGAGATCTGTGGTAGAGCACCTGCATAGCCATCCAACAGGAAGAAATGAAGGAAGGAAGGAGAGAGAGAAAGAGAAGAAAGAAAGGAAATCTAGTTACTTCTCTCATTGCTGAGCCAAAATATCCACCACCCAAAGTTAAAGCAGGAAAGGTTTATTTCGCTCACAGTCTGTAGAGGTTTCAGTCCATAATCATCTGGCTGCAAGACAGGGCAGCATGGCAAAGGGGCATCACAGAGGAGAAACAGTCCATGGCAGGACAGGCAGAATGCAGCCAGATTAAACAAAATAACAGCAAAAGTAATTTGTAGTTATAAAAGACAGCATATTGTCTTTCCTTGCTTCTCTAGGCTATTGTTAAAATAATACATACAATGTGTTGTTGGACCTATAATGTATTCAAATGTAATGCACTGTCAAGAACAGAAGGTGTCAGTTACCTTTCTGCCACTATAACAAATTACCTGAAACAAGTAACTTATGAACAGAGAAGGGTTACTCTGGCTTGCAGTTGAGTGGACCTGTTGCTGGTGGTACAGGGGCAGAGCAAAATTCTCATGATGTGGCCAGCAGGCAAAAAGGAACAGCACAGCTGTGTAATAAATACACACACCCAGGACCTAAGCACTTCCTGTGAGGTTCACCTCCTGAAGATTCCATGTGCAATGAATCATCCAAAAACAAAGTCAATAAAACAATTCCACTTTAAGACCAACCAATGAGTATAACACTAAGGATTAGCTTGTTTAACAAAAAAGTTCAAACCCAAAAATGATAAACCTGGAATGATCCAGGGTTAGGCATGGAACTCAGTGATACGGTACCCACCTGGCATGCACAAGGTCCTGGGTTTTATCCCCAGCACTGAAACAACAGTAACTACAAAACCCAAACAAATGGGAAAACACCCGTGTTCATGTGTTGGAAGATTTAATATGACTGAGATGGTAACAGTCTCCAAACAGATCTACAGATTCAGTACAAGTCCTATCAGAATCCCAGCTCACCTTTTTGCAGAAACTGACAAGATAATTCTAAAATTCACGGAGCATTGCATGGGCCCTTGCACATCCATGGTGATCTTGAAAAATAAGAATATCTGAAGACTTAATTTTTTTTATTTAAAACTGACTCAAGAGGGAGGAGCAAAGATGGTGGATAGATAACAACTGGCTACAGAGGTTCCCTGAGATAGTCAACTTAGAATTCAACTTAATACAGCAAAGGGAGCATCAAACAGAAGGAGATGAATTCTCTCGTCCCAAGAAGAGATTAAGGTGAGAAGAACCAACCAAACC